CTTCATCTTTGATTTAGGTTTTATTTTTATGCACTTGTAGAAGATTTTCATCACCATACACAATCTTCAATCAGAGAAGTTTTTTTGTAACTTTGTTTCTTTACTTTATTTATTTTTCATTCTTAAACCAATGATGATGTCAAGCTCAGTCATGTCTGAGTAGTTGCCTTGTTGGGTGAAGGGACCATCAAAAGGGATCCCATGTTCGAATGAAATCTAGGTTTTTAGGTTAAAAAATTTCAAGTTGTTAAATGATTCTCCCATTCATCCCAATCTCAAAGCGGTTCTCTGGATTGATCACCCAGAGTCCGATCCAAGGTTAAATCCGAGCCATGAGAGTGTTGTATCTGGTTTACCTGAACTGGATCTTATGGACATACCCGTCGTAGGAGATGAAAGCTACCTACGGAGGTTACGTAAGCCGAGATGGATATCAGTCTGAAATGCATGATCTTATTCCGACATGAGAGCGAGAGTTAATTGCTGAGTTTAAGTGATTAGATGATTAGGATCATGCCACCCGCTGCCGAGCCCTTTTTGGTTCCCGACTTGTTTTTCCGATTTCTCGTAAGCCGAAGCTTAAAAATCCCGATTCATCCCGAGATTAAACCGGAAATTCTCAGAAAAACATTTCCGTGCCAAAAACACGAAGGTAAGTCTTTAAAAACCTTTTAAATAATTTTTTCTTAGGAAAAACACCTTTTTAAAAGAAAAAGAGGATTTCACAGATCGAAAGGCACCTTTTCATCATCTTCTCCAACAAGCTTGGAGATTTTGAGAGAAGACCAGATTTCAAACTTGACAAATCCCTTTCAAATTTTTGATTATGTATCACTTTTTTTCAAAGAAGATTCCAAATCTATCATCACATCACACTCTCATCAAGGTATGGATCCAAATTCCTCACTTTTCAAATGAACTCAAAATTTAGGTTTTCTTAGAATCAGTGAAAATTTACCTTAAGATGATAAGCAATTGTCTTTGAGCAAAAGACTAGACTTCTAGGAAGTTTAATTGAATGATTTAACACCTAGACTCTATAGATTTGTGATTTTTGAAATCTGAGATTTGAACACTTGAAAAAATCGAATTTGAAAAACTGTTTGGTTTAGCATTAGAAAATCTGGATTAGTGGGCTACTGTTGATAGATAATATGATTAAATTGCATATGAATGAGTATTTACATCATCTTATTTTAGAAATCTCATATGTAGAACATCATTATCCCAAAATCGATCAAAAACTCCCAGATTTTGCCATGTTCAATGCAATTACAGTTTGTTTGTAGTTTGAATGTGGTTGTGATAGCTGAATGAACATCTTAGCTCATAAAAATCAATTCAAAATGCAGCTTCATCATTTTTGTCTCGAGAATTCTGTTTTTGCAGGTCATGGAACTTTCCCGAGCACTCGCACAAAAGCATTGCCCTCATGCAAAGAATCCTCACTCCCAAGAGATATATGATGCCTTGAACGAGACGCAGCTGAGCGATAATGAGACCTTCTCCACTTTCATATCTACGCAGAGGAGAATATTTTCAGGACAGATCGAGAAGGCCCCCACTCGAAGATCAGTACCTTGGAGAGCCAAGTCTTCCTCTAGACTGAATGTGAAGTTTGTTGGTCAGGCCAACTACTTGGAGAACCTTGAAAAGCTGAAGATCAAACCAACTCCAACAATCGATTACTCTCGAGATGCTTGGGATCAGATCATTCATGGAACAGAGTTTCCCAACTTATGAGAGCCACACCAGAGAGTTCCTAGCATCAGTGACATTTTGCTACAAGAAGAGAGCTACTCCTAGAGCTCTAGATGGCATACTTTCTTTCTATATTGGAGGCGATCTCTATTCTCTTACCATTTTAGAGATGTGTGAAGCCTTGAAGCTGCCATACTGTGATGAGATTGATTTGGAGAAAGATCTAGATAAGGATCTATGGAGATTGATGGGTCATGGAGTATATGACAATGGAAGATACAAAGCTTCACTTCTCTCTCACTCTGCAGTTCGATATGTGCATAAGTTGTTGGCACACACTATGTTTTCCAGAGCTAACCAGGCAAATGTGCTCAAACCTGAGCTGGTGACACTTCAGCTACCGTTCACAGATCATCCAAGGTTCCCTTGTTGTGCTTGCATCATTGGCAAGAACCTAGTAAAGGTTAAGCATGAGATGATTTCTTCAGAGTTCCAAGACTTCTCACCAGCCTTTGGGAGCATCATTACATCGCTTATGATTGCAACAGGAGTGGACTTTTCAGCTGAGACCCCTCTTAAGGAAGATTGATTCGATTTATCCAAGTTTTCTAGAGACATGACTATTTTCAGAGCCAAGATGGATCCCATTGGATTTCCTTACAAGTTCTGTACCAGTACATCTGCGTACAAAGTTCTTTTACCATCGAATTCAGTGCCCTGAATCCGAGATGGAGCAGACCTAGGATGGAGACCAGAGACTCACGACTTCTTGCCATCTGTTCCACTCTTCCCTTTGACTATGAAGCAATTTCTGGCTACAAAAGCTAAGAGATAGATAGCTGCAAACAGCAGGAGACTTCAGCCTGCACCATCATCATCTCGAGCCAGCACCCCTCACACTAGAGCATCCACTAGGAGTGAAGCAGACTTTGCAGCCTTGAAGAAGAAGCTTGACCAGCAGGAGAGGATCAACAGGCGCATGAAGAAGTTCATGGAGAAGAACCACAAGTTTGATGATGATTCCTCTGCCACAGAGTCAGACAGCAGCCGCGAGACATAGGCTCTTATCCATCACCTCGCCATACCCACGGTTCTATCATCATTTTTTTTCTTTTATTTTAAACTCTTTTGCTTTTATTTACCATCTTCTCACCAACTTTTACACATTTGGGACAGTGTGGTTTAAGTCTGGGAGAGGATGTCTATCTGTACTGATTTATTTTATTTATTTCTTATCTTTTTCTGTAATTTGTAAAATTTTATTAAAATTTTATTGTTTTTCAGGAATGTTTGACACAAAAATGTGATGAGTAAGACCCATGTGTCTAGACTCTACATGATAGTTTCTTTTTGTGGTTAGTACTAGACTAGGCGGTAGCTAGAGTACTTGCACTTCGAACTCCCACCAGATGATTTCTATTCATGAAGACTCTTTCTGACAGGATATACTAGCTCATTTTAATTTTCTCATCAATGGTTTTAGGAAGGCATCATGATATAAATCTATGACATCTTTACCTTATTTTACCACTATTTGTTGTCCTAGATGACCAGTTCATCTTTAGCTGGTACCACACCCATAACCTAAACCTATATGTTTGAACCTCATGCATTCCCTTTTAAGTTTTTATCGGCAGATATGTGAAAAAAATGCCGGAGAGGGAGGATCAACATAGTTTTCAGTCACTCAATCGAAAGACTGAAACAAATTGAGAAAGAGGAATATCAAGAATCCTATCAAGCTTAATGGTTCCACAAAAAGAGGTGAATTTTGTGCTCCCTATGAATCTACATCTAAAGGCGGCTTTCCCTTTCAAACAAAAAAAATCAAAAAAGAGAAAAAAATGAAAGGAAAGGAAACCAAAAGCCTAAAAGAGTTTAGGATAGCCAAAATTATTTGAAGCAAATGTTACAAGTATTCATCTATGGAGTTATGGCTTACAAACCTAGACAAAAATCTAAGTCTGGGAGAGTCATGAGGAGAACCTGAAGAAAAGAGATCAGAAATCTTAAGAAAAGAAGAATGTGACTGGAAACTGTGGACATTCAACAGCTCCATCCTCTTTTGCTGTTTTGCATAATATCTTGTCTCTCCAGAAAAAGGTAACCCTAAACCACCATGAACTTCACCCCTAAAAAGAAATTTCGATGTTCCAGTGGTTCTCATCAAAAGGAATTCAGCAAAGAAATCAATGTCTAAGTGTGTAGATTTCGCATGACGGATCAACAAACTAGTTATGCTTGTATTTTGGTGAGAACTTTCTAGACTATAACTGATTGGAGCATAATGATTAAATTTAGTTAGATAACTGATTGGAGCATAATGATTGACTTTAGTTAGAAGCATGGTCTCTGAGATTTTGTTAATTCCTGCGATTTTCAAACCTCTTTTCTGGAATTAGATCTTTTGTTTTGTTTGAGGACAAACAAGTTTAAGTCTGGGAAGTTGATAACACCTGATTTTGACCATTTTTATGGATCACTTTCAATATCTTATGCAAGTTTTTCACTCAGTTTTAAGGGTTTTATAAGTATTTTCCATGTTTTGGAGTTTTAAAAAACTTTTCAGAAAACTTGGATTTTTGGAATGCATTTTGGAGCAAAAGTATGTTTTTAGATAAATTCAGGCCATCAGAATGATCCATTGCTAAAAAAAAAAGCTAGAGGAGGTCAAAACTCTCTCAGACACTTTCCCCGAGAATTTCCAAAAATGCCTGAGTTTTACCTTTCTCCCCTTCCCACCTTCCTCTGTTTACCAGAAATAACGAACTCCCCTCTCTAACCACTGGTCCACGCCGGTCTCCGCCGCGCGTCGGCTGCTCCAACACGCCAAAGAGTCAGGCTTTCATGCCTTTCGATGTCAACTCTCTGCAACAAAGTTAAATCATCTAGCATGGCTAAGATCTGGAGATTTCTACAACACTTAGTTCTCACTTCAAACAAAAGCATATGCTCTCTCTAGCTTAAGCTAAGACTCCTCTCAAAAGTAAAAGACTCGCTGAAGCCTGAGTACAGAGTAATTTTACCTCTCAAATACCGATTATCAACTTTCAATCTTTGCACAACTCCCTTGATGATGGCGTCGCATCTTCTCTTCTCCATGGAACAATCCTGAAGACCCTTAGAAGTAAAGCTGAAGATTTCTCCCTCTCTTGGGAAGTACGGTCTACTGAAGATTGAAGCCTGAAAATCTCTAGCTCTGTGCTAAGTTCTAGCTTTGTGATAAGTTCTATATCAATTGCTCTTGAAAAGTCCTCGCTCACAACCTTTCTACAACTCTAAACCGAAACCATCCTCTAATGGAACGTTCCAACAAGGTCGCTAACCTCCCTCTTCCAGAAGAAGATGATGAAATCATAGATCTACCCCATGTAGATAACTCCCAGCTTATTGCTCGGTTCAGCTGGAGTCTGGTGGGGCCTATGTTCAACCATGAGATCCGCAGCACTGAAGCCATCATCGCCTTTATGCCGCGACCAAACATCTGGGATGTGGAGGGTCGTGTGCACGGTATTGACCTCGGTAACTCCAGATTCCAATTTGACTTTGACTCGGAGGTTGATCTGCAAAAGGTTTTAAACAAAAGGCCTTGTCATTTCAATAAATGGTCCTTCTCTCTGGAAAGATGGATACCTCATGTAGGTGATTCATTTCCAAGTAACATGGTCTTCTGGATTAGAGTCTCTGGGATTCCAACCCACTTCTGGCTGGAAGACAACTTCAGAACCATTGGAAGCAGTCTCGGTGATGTCAATGCTGTCGATGAACATGCTGCAAGAGTTCGGGTCTCTGTTAACGCAGATGCTCCTTTAAAATTCACTACCCGAGCTCGTCTTCAATCTGGGGAGGTGGTGAAAGTCGATCTAAAGTATGAAAAACCTGAACGATGGTGCTTGACCTGTAGACACATATCTCACGATGAGAAAACTTGCCCTTACCTATCTGAGGATCAAAGGAGAGAAAAGAGGTTGGAGAGAGAAGCAGAGAGGAACTCTGCTCAAGCTGCCCGTGAGGAACAGATTCGGGAAAGAGATATCCTCTTCATGCGACATCAAGCCGGACAAATCTCTGTCCCTCTTCGCGAAAGAAATCCTCTCCCTCCTATTCATGATGACACCCCAAGAACTCAGCTGCAACCTAATGAAGAAAGGAATGAGTCTCACAGAGAAAGAAATGACTCTCGATCAACAGAGAACAGAAGACTTGAGGATAAAAGAAACTCTAGTGTCTGGAATAGGATTGAGCAAAACCCAGGATATCAATCTGAAGCCAGACGATACGAAAGACGTGAAGATGATATCACTCCTGGACACGCTGAGCCTCCTCACACCTCTGACCTCTCTTATCGGAAGAGACGTTACGAAGATTCGTTTGCTGCGAGCAAAGGGAGATTGGAAAAAAATAAGGCAAAGGAGAAATACCCTCCAAGAGATTACAGTTCTGGTAAACCACCTCGAGCAAAGTTCTCCTCCAATGCCAAAACATTCCTCAGATTCTCAACGAACTCTATCTGACCCTTCCCTCCATAACTCGAACCGAGCTAAGCAAGGAAACCTGTCCCCCGAGCACCAGAAATCTCGTCCTTTTCGGCTATCTCTCTTAAGCAAGTCTTCTGGTCTTGGAAAAGGAAAAGAGATGGAGATAGGTGAATCATCGGAAGCCGGAAGTTCAGCAAAAAAATCCCTTCAATTTGACCATGTTGGCCCTGATAAAGCTGTCTCTCACATCTCGCAAGAGGAATCTAACCAGGATAAGATCTTACCGTTCCTACCGCCGAACCATAAGAGTTGGTATGAGCAGACTCTTGAGGAAGAGGAGAATGATGCTGAGCAAATTGGTGAAGAAAGACCCCCAAGTCTCCCCACAGGTGCTCCCTTGATGGAAACTGGAATTGCTGACTTGGAAATCTCAGGAGATTATCTTTTCTCTGAAGCAGAGAAAATGGATGTGGATAATCCGGTGACTGCCGAGGATTTCGAAATGAACGACACTATTGACGGTATAGCAGAGGAGGATGAGTGGATGGATGATACTGATCTATATGAAGAGGGGGAATTAGATGAACTCCTAAAGGATGACGATTTGCTAGGAGAAGATCTGGGTGAAGGAATGGATGAGGGACTCGAAACCAAAGAGCAGGAAGGGCTCGTTTTGGAGCAAGAAGGGATAGCTGAAGAGTTTTCCGCGAAACCAGCCGCATCTTGGTGGAGAAGCCCGATAAAAGCCGACTCGGACCGGGATTTAGACGCCGGCACCGGAAAATCTGGTCGGGGTAATGGAAAAAAGAAAGCCGTTCCGAAATCGCCGGCGGTGCTGGGAATTTCTCTGAAGAAAAGGAAAATGCTGGGCCGTAACTCGCCAAAAGGGAAGGGAAAGGGGAAGAAGGCTGATTTGGGCCCAAGCCCAAATAAAGATCAAAGTGAGAAGGCCAAAGGGGATAAAACTTCCAAAGCCCAAAAGCCTAAACATTCATCTTCTTCTGGTACAGGTGGAGCCTAGAAGCCTGCACAACAACCAAAATGAACGTTATTGGATGGAATTGTCAGGGGGCGGGAGCCGACCGGACAAAGGAACATCTAGAAGAATTGCACTTTTGTTTTTCTCCTCGCTTTTTATTTTTATCGGAAACCAAGAACAACCGTTTTTTTATGCAAGATATGCAAATGTATTTTGGCTATGACCATGTTTGTACCTTGGAACCGAAAGGTCGTAGCGGTGGTCTAGCTCTTTTTTATATGGATGAACCGTCGGTTTTTATTACTTATTCGGATGAGCATTTGATCGACGTGGAAACAACTCTAGACGGACATAAAATTGTTATGACCTTTGTGTATGGTGATCCGGTTGTAAAAAACCAAGAACGTGTCTGGGAGCGTCTCACTCGGATGAGCATCTCAAGAAAAAATGCCTGGTTTATGATAGGGGATTTTAATGATATCACCGGAAACCATGAAAAACGGGGAGGAAGAAGGAGACTTGAATATACTTTTATACCCTTTCGAACTATGTTAGATAACTGTGGCATGCTAGAGTTCCCATTCAAGGGAAATTCATTCTCATGGGTCGGTAAAAGACGCTCGGGTAAAGTCAAGTGCCGTCTAGATAGAGCTGTTGGGAATGAGGAATGGCAAGCTCTCTTTTCCCACTCTTCAGTGGAGTACCTGAAATTATGGGGTTCGGACCATCGTCCGGTTCTAGCCATGATACGAGTGGATAATCAACGGAAGAAAAAATCATTTAGGTTTGATAAACGATGGATGGGAAAACCTGGGTTCAGAGAAGCGGTTATCTCTGGATGGGGCTCTTTGGATGGAACCTCACGTCGAGGTTTCCATCAAAAAGTAGCTGACTGTCGTAAGAGCATCTCCATTTGGAAGAAATCTCTCCCAACAAATTCGGAAAAAATGATCCAGGACCTAAAGAATCAACTTGATGCAGCACAAGATGATGAAAACACAACGACTGAAGAAATAGAAGAAATCAGGAGGAAACTCTGTACAGCATTCCGAGAGGAAGAAATCTATTTGCAAAAAAAAAGTCGCGAGAGATGGCACAAGGATGGCGATAAGAACACAAAATTCTTCCATGCCCTTACTAAACAAAGAAGAAGCCGGAACTGAATCATTTCCTTAAAAGATAATAATGGGAAATGGGTGGAGAACGCGAAAGGTATTGAACGTGTGGCTACCCAATATTTCCAAGACTTATTTACCTCGTCACAACCTTCGGATCCAGGAAATACACTCCTGTATATCACCGAGAAAGTTAGTGATACTTCGAACCAGCTTCTGCTTTTGGAGCCCTCGGAAGCAGAAATTAAGGAAGCCCTTTTTGATATTAACCCTGACAAAGCTCCCGGTCCTGACGAGATGACGAGTAAATTCTATCAAAAATTCTGGCAAGATTTCCGCCACGACATAGTTAAATTGGTGAAAGATTTTTTCATCTCGGGATCCTTTGACCCTAGACTGAATTAGACTAATATATGTCTTATTCCAAAAAAAGAAAAGCCAAGAGCAATGACGGAATTCCGCCCGATTAGTCTATGTAATGTAAGCTATAAGATTATCTCTAAGCTTATGTGTAAAAAACTAAAGAGAACATTACCAAACATGATTTCGGAAACACAATCAGCCTTCATGGCTAGACGGCTTATTACAGATAACATTCTGCTGGCACAAGAGAATTTTCATGCCTTACGCACCAGCCCCGTTTGTAGAGAAAACTTCATGGCCATAAAGACAGACATGAGTAAAGCTTATGACCGGGTAGAGTGGAGTTTCCTCGAAGCCCTTATGCTCAAGCTAGGCTTCTCCGAGAGATGGGTCAGACTTTTGATGTTCTGTATTTCCTCGGTCTCTTACCAAGTCCTTATAAATGGCGAACCAAAAGGAAAAATTCTTCCTTCGAGAGGATTACGGCAAGGAGACCCTCTATCTCCTTTCCTCTTTATTCTGTGTACTGAGGCACTTATTTCACTTCTCCACGGAGCAAAGAAGGAAGAGCGTATTTCTGGGCTGAAAGTAGCTCAAGCGAGTCCTCCGGTTTCCCATCTTCTGTTTGCTGATGATAGTTTGTTCTTTTGTAAAGCAGACATCCAGCAGGGAGCCGAGATTTTTAGGATTATTAATACATATGGATCGGCCTCGGGACAACAACTTAACTTGGGAAAATCATGTATCATGTTTGGGAATAGAGTAGACCTGTACTTAAAACAAGGCATCAAGTCTGCCATAGGAATATCCTCAGAGGGAGGCATGGGCATGTACCTTGGTCTTCCAGAACAAATTTGTGGATCGAAAATAAAAGTTTTCTCTTATGTCCATGACCGTTTGAGTAACCGAGTTAACAACTGGTCTGCAAGACTTCTTTCCAAAGGTGGAAAAGAAATTCAAATAAAATCGGTGGCACAAGCTGTTCCGACATATGTCATGTCATGCTTCTTATTACCACAAGGAGTGACAGACAAATTGCGTAGTGCCATAGCCAATTTTTGGTGGAGTTCAAAGCAGAATAACGGCGGAATACACTGGATTGCCTGGGATAAAATCTGCATTCCCCAGGATATGGGAGGCCTTGGATTTAGAGATCTACAAGATTTTAACTTAGCTCTTTTAGCTAAACAACTATGGCGACTTATTCAGTATCCCTCATCCCTATTGGCTCGGGTTTTAAGAGGCAGATACTACAAGCAATCCGATCCTCTAGAGGATCGAAACGTCTACTCACCATCCTATGGGTGGCGAAGTATAATGGCCGCAAAACCGTTCCTGAAGATGGGCTTGAGGAAGACAATTGGATCGGGACTAAATACGAGAGTTTGGAGCGAATCGTGGATCCCGGACCTTAGAGCTCGGCCGCCAAGAGCCGCCCCGCAGATCGGATTCCGGGACCCAAGAATTTTGGTTTACTCTTTTATCCGTCAGGATACAAAACAATGGGATATCCCCCTACTTAGAGAATTTTTCCAACCTGAGGATGTCTCCCTTATCCTTGGGTTGAGACCTAGCCATACCCGTACTTTAGATGGATATGCTTGGAATCATTCCAAATCAGGACTTTATTCAGTTAAGTCGGGATATGATCTGATTAGAAGGACAAAGCTAGCACAGGAAGCTGGAGCGGTAATGGAACCAAGCATCACGGCCCTTAAACGTCACATTTGGAAAGTTCGTACACCTGGAAAGATGAAACACTTTATGTGGCAATCTTTATCAGGGTGCGTTGCTACATGCCAGAACCTTACATATCGACATATGGGATCTGACAAACGCTGCCCCCGATGTGGAGATCCTGAGGAATCCATAAATCATCTACTTTTTTTATGTCCCCCGGCCTTACAAGTCTGGGCATTATCGGACTTTCCGTCCCTTCCGGGTTTCTTCCCGAGTACCTCTATTTATCAAAATATGAGCTTTCTCTTTTGGAAAACAAAAGAGATAGGCATGACAGATCCTAAAATGGATGTATATCCTTGGATCCTATGGTTTATTTGGAAAGCAAGGAACGAAAAAATCTTCAATGGGAAAGACATTTCCCCGGAAGACACCTTGATCCATGCAAAGGTGGAAGCAGAAGTTGGAGATTAGCGAACCAACCTGAAGATAGCGATGTTGCTCATGCTGAGGCTTCAGGCCTCCCCTCGGCCCCGATTTCGATACCCGAGGTACCGCAGATCCCGATATGTCAGATTGATGCCTCTTGGATCAGTCACGGACAGATTAGTGGACTTGGTTGGAGTTGTAAGGATGGCAGAGGGAATGAGGTCTCTGGCCTACAAGGATGCCATAGAAGCCTCTCAGCTCTTCACGCCGAGATGGAGTGCCTATTATGGGCTATGGCATGCCTGAGAGAAAGACAGATACACTTGGTGCATTTTCAGACTGACTGTTTGGATCTTGTGAACATGTGTGAATCACCAGCGGATTGGCCGTCTTTTATGACAGAGTTGGAATCCTTCCGTATCCTACGCGAGAGCTTCTCAGAGTTCACCTTATCTTTTATCCCGAGAACT